TTGGGCTGTGTGCTTGTGGATCAAATCAAATCTCAACAAGTTGGGCTGTATGTTTGCTGATTCCAATTGGGCTTTTGGTCTGTTGGTTTTAGTAGTCCAATCCTAAGGAAGTCGAATACGTAGTCTTTCTGGCTCACATATCTCATTGGACCCACATTTTTCAATTTATTTAATCAATTTCTAAAATATATTCTTTTAGTATTTTTCAAATATTTTTATCTTTAATTTCTAATTTTATTTTTCAATTTTTTTTGCACCCTTTTTTTTTTTTTAACTTTAATTTGTACCCCATAATTTTAAATCTTGATATGTACCCATATCAAACTAATTTGTACCAATGTTGTTTTAGTTTTAATTCATACCCATACGTTTCTAATTAGTTCCAAGTCCATGAGTTGCCGATCATGGAGCACTTGGTGCACAAAACGGCACCCATGTCGTGCATCAACAAGCTATTGACTTGCGGGTTCGCTAGTCGAGGGAGTACTCCCCCATAATTTCTTGTTTCTTTTCCTGGTTAGGAGTTCTCTGTCTTCACAGGCTGCACGCCCGCTGAATCGGCCTCCACTGCATCAGTAGGGTGGGTTGGGGCCGGAGCTGCCATAGAGTCATGTCGTCTTCGGGTGTGAGGACGCCTAGTAGATCGGGTCCCCAACCTCAATGCATTGGAAGTATTGGGGTCGACCACCACCCCTTAAACCGCCTGGGTGAGGTTGGGTATCCCTCATGCCAGGTCACTCTAACCCACCGCCGTAGGAAAAGTAATCAAATGTAGAAAGAAAAAAGCAATTTTATTACATGAATCCTCAGGCCTCCACACTCAGTTTAAGAAAAACTAATGTTTCTCAATATTAGACCAACAAAGTTCATATCATCACATACTACAATCAAATCCGCTACCATTTTTTTTATTCGATTGTTACGAATCCTGGGGGTGAGACTGCATGCACTGGGAGTGCCAGAGAAGGCTGTTGCTCTTGCTTCCCTTGCCGTGGCGGTTCTTGCTTCCCTACGTGTTCTTGTCCCTGCGGCAGCTCCTGCACTAGTTGTGGTGGCTCTTCTTCTTCTTGCTGCTGCTGCTGCTGCTGCTCCGCCCCTTGCCAAGTCCAAACAATGTCCTTCAGAGCTGGTCTGATATCTTTCTTAATGACCTTCTGATACTCCAATGTATCTCCACTAGACTTCTTCACTTCCACCAGATGAAAAGTCGGGGTGATTTCAAATATCTCGGTGTCAATGCTCAGCACCCCCTTCCTGCCTTCCGTGGACCCTTCCATTTTCAACAATCCTCCATCCCGCTTCTTTATTTTTAGCTTCAGACGCTTGGCAATGTCCTCCAGCTTAGAGATGATGGTGGATGCCGTTTTGTTGGATGTAAACCGCACTTCCTTTTTCTGGTCTGTCTGCTCAAACAATCCAGACAAGTCAAAGCCTTCGGAGTAGGAGATGATATCAAAAGCATTCAAGTTAGATGGCTTTGATAATTCTTGCCTTGACTCGACAGAAGAATTGCTGTCTTCATTTGGTCCAAAAATTGCATCAACATCCAGAGGGGATGGCTCCTTCATCGGTACCTCAGCAATTTCCAGTTTTTGGACCAAACCCTTGCGGAACCAAGAACTCTGCATAATTTTGGCAATGGATACCCGAGTATTTGGATTGGGGTCCATGATCTGTGACAGCAACCTGCGTACTTCTGGCGAAAACCAGTTAGGGAATTTGAACTCGCCCTTACCAATCTTCTTATACATCTCCATCAGATTTGAATCGTGAAATGGGAGATAGCCAGCCAATAGAACATACAATACCACTCCACAAGACCAAATGTCAGCTTTGGCACCATCATATCCTTTCCTGTTTATTACTTCTGGCGCAACGTATGCAGGGGTTCCACAAGTTGTATGAAGCAAACCATCTTGCCGCTTAGATTCACCAAGGGCACTCAATCCGAAATCTGAAACCTTTAGATCCTCATTCTCATCCAAAAGTAGGTTTTCTGGTTTCAAATCTCGGTGGCAGACTCCTCGACTATGGCAGTAATCAACAGCACTGATGAGCTGCTGAAAATATTTCCTAGCAACATCCTCCTTTAGCTTGCCTTTGGAAACCTTGTTGAAGAGCTCACCACCTTTGACATACTCCATGACAAAGTAAATCTTGGTTTTGCTGGCCATTACCTCATAAAGCTCCACAACATTCGGGTGTCTAATCAGTCGCATGACAGAAATTTCTCGCTTAATCTGATCAATCATTCCGACCTTCAAGACCCTCTCTTTATCAATTATCTTAATCGCCACACTCATGCCGGTTTTAAGATTCCTCGCATAGTGAACCTTGGCAAAGGTTCCTTGGCCTAGTATTCGCCCCAATTCATACCGCTGCATCAACACGCTTCCTTTGTTTTCCATTTCCGGCTAACTATTCTTGTACACAGCAGAAGCTACTTCTACCCGATAATACAGAAACTATATCCTCAAGAATGTAAAAGTTCAACCATCTTCATAGACATCATGTTTCGACAAGATGTGCCCGCCTATATTTCTCACTGAAGTGGGCACTTGAGCATAGAATCTGAACTCGTTGAGAGTTTTTTCAGTCACATCATTGATAAGCAAGGGCAACTCAAACAGAGCTACAACCTCATCGATAAGAGATGGCGAGTTCTCAACCTTGAAGCACATCTTGCAGCATTCCCTGGCTTCCGTCTTTGATAACCCAGAGAAAACTGAAAAAGATGACTTAGCTCAAACTCAACCGGACACGAAACAAGGTAGCAAGCAGTCAAAGCGCTAAACTTGCCAACAACAAATATACACCTGAGAGAGAAGAGGACGGAAATATAAGATCTTTGAGCCTTCGCATGCTTAAGGGTCCGTTTAAAAGTGCTTTAAAACGGTTGAAAGTGCTTTTAGTAAAAATGTTTTTGAAATCAATTCTCGGTAAAGAGTAAAGTGTAAGTAAATAAGTGCTTTTAACCCAAAATTATTTTCACTAAAAATATTTTTGATTATTTTAAAGGCACTTCCAAGTTCTAAATTCAGTGTATAATTTGCAGCAAATTTCGAAAATAATGCATAGTTTTCTGTATCCTTCATATTCGAAAGCTGTGAACTTCATCATCTGTTTCAGCACTTTATAAAATAATTTGAAGGTTTTAATTTATTTCAACTTCTAGTAGGATAAACAATTCAGCAACACAATCACTCCTTAAATTCAAGATATTCAATTAAAACTCATCCAAAAAGAAACAGGAAAAAAAAAACCCCATTTCCCAGCTTCAAATTTCCAAGATTTCAGCACCTCAACAAGGGAAAATAAAAGAAAAACTCTAATTTTCTAGGCAACCAAACAGGAAACAAATTTAAAAAAAAAAATCTGAACCTAAAAATAAACAAAATTGAAAATTTCTCACTTTGACAGAACCAACAAATAGAATTAAAGAACCGAATAAAAAGATTCGAACTTACCTTGAAATTAGAGGTAGAAGTTCTCTCCAAGTTGGAAAGAATGAAGAACAGAATCTTGGTTTTGCTTTTTGGATTCAAAGCAAGATAAAGAAAACCCAAATGGCTGTAGTGGTGTGTGGCTATCCTTTATAAGCTGTGCCTAACGCGCCAACGCCAACCAATAAATTTCTGTCTTTTTCTCACTCGTTTTTTTGGCTTCTTGTTTGCATGAGATCGCAGCACTCCCCACTCACTGTTCTTGGACATAAATACAAAGGCGCCACCTTTTTTTCTTAAATTATTTCCCAAATTTTAAATAAATATTCGTAAAATTAGTATAATATCTGTTTTGTTTTGCTAACTCCATGAGTTTTTGTTAAACGGAAGCCATAATAACAGGAACTAGATCCACTACCTTAATGTCCGGAACTTAAGGATTCACAAATTTGAGCCACATTTAATGATTCTCATTAACTCATTTCGTTGATCTACGTCACACAAGTCAACGACTCCGATTTCTTTTCCACATAAATGTGTAGTCTAGATCTACGAATCCCTAGGCTTCGAACACTAAGGTTCAGAGTAGATCCAATTTCATAATAATAGTCATCATTTGCTTACCCTAAAGTGCTTGTATAATAATTAATAATGCTTACCTTAGTTTTGCGGAGTAGACCCAATCAAAACTCAATCCGATATCATTTTGACCAAAAAAAAAAAAAATTCTGATATCATTAACCTTAATCACTACGATATTAAAATCATTCAAGGCAATATTTTGATTTTGATTGGCGTTGGGGTGCAATGCATATAATTTAGGTGGGCGGAGGGCGGGCCAATGCGATGCTTCATGACTCGAACATCTTTGGCATTGTCACCCAGAAACCAATCACGACACGACGTGATTAATTTATTATTATTTGTTGTAGGAATTTATTGAGGGAAGTGTTGTTGATATTTCAAAAATTTTATTCTACACTCTTCATAAGTGTATTTTTCTCATTGTTCTAAAAAATGGCCTAGGCATCTGTCTAGGCACTAGGCGGTGGTGAGCCGAGGCGTTTTCTTGCAAATCGGTTGGAAAAATCAAATCGGCTCTAGGCGGGCTAGGCTGGGTAGGCGGGGTAGGCGGGGTAGGCGGGGCTAGGCGGTTTTTTTTTAATGAAATTAAAAAATAAAATAAAAAATCCTTTCTAAGTCTAAGTGGTTTAAAATTGTGAACTTGTTGAACATTTGTCATCCTACAATACTCCTCACTATGGTTATATGACATATATGCTTAATGTGTTTTTAAATTTAGGACTTGTTGGATGCTCTTTTTGCATTTTATCATTTTTTTTATTATCTTATCCATGGATTTCATACAAGTATAATTTTTTGTAAGTGTCAATATGCACTTATTTACAAGATATACAAAAAAATTATCTAAATCCGCCTAGAGCCCGCCTAGGCGCTAGGCGCCAGCCCGCCTCCCGACTAGCGCCTAACGTTTTTTAGAACTTTTTTTTCTTTTTAAATATAGAAAGTTTAGAGTGTAGAATAAAATTTTTGAAGTCTCAATAATTTTCTCTTTATTTATTATTAATTATGTATTATTATTTTTTGTTGGAATTTATTTGTTAATATTCCAGTTTTTGGTAATTAGCAGAGGTTTCTACCGAAGGCTGCCCACCGTACACGTCCCCCTCAGCGATTGCTTGGCACCACACGAGCCTACTTGTCCGTGTCCGGTTACCCTCCCTGGGGCCCCACCGTCTCCCGGGTCGGAGTTGGCCGCGCGCTGCTCCATACAAATTCAATGACATAATCTTGTAAATTAAACAAGGCAAGTGAAACTCTTGCTCCGTACAAATTTAATGCTAAGGCAAGTAAAATTTATACATTCATTCTCTTTTCTTGTTTATCGTTGTTTAATTTTGATCGTTCGATTGTGTAAATTAAATAAAAATTAATGAACATGGATGAATAAGGGGGTGTGTACAAGGATGAAATGGATAGCAGAAATCGTTTTTTTAAGATGAATAGGGTCAAAATATACGGGCGTTGGAATAAAATTATGCTTAGAAAGTTGGACGTAAAAACAGTGAGAGAAAATGATTGAATTCGAAATTTAACATATGAAACACATGTTCGGAGAAGTCTAGAATTTTCAAAAGCATATGGGTTTTGCAAGTCGACCAGGAGAATTAGGGAAGCTTCGTGAAACCAATCAACGAACAAAATATAATAAGCAAGCCTTTTTTAATAATTTCTTTAGCAAAAAGAAAGCGCAAAGTTGGTGCTTGGCTTCTTAGGTCTGGTTTGGTATTACTGTGCTTTGAAAAAAAACTGCTGTGAGAATAAGCGGCTGTGAAATAAATCAGCAGAGTGTTTGGTAAACTTTTTTGTAAAAGTGCTTTTGGAAAGAAAAAAAGCAGTCTGATAGTGGGTCTTTTCATTAAAGGAGCACTATAGCTCAGTGTGCTTTGAAAAAAAACTAGTTTTCCAAAGCTGCAAATAGCAGCTTCAGCTTTTTCCTTTGATTTGAGCTTATTCTCACAGCAACTTTCAAAATAAGCCCTTTTTTTTTTTAGTTTACCAAACACCTAAAATCCTCACAGCTTTTTTTCATGAATGCTTTTTTTTAAGCACTTCACTCCCAAATGATTTTGGTTTAGATACAATGCGTCATAGCTTATCATAACTCTAGAAAGCTTCTTATAGCAGTATATTTGATAGTGTACTAATACTCTATAAATCTTGTAGAAATTTAGAAGGGGTGACTACCTGCTGCTTGAAAGAGCGCAACTGAGAGCAGGTCTGATGTAGGTATTCGACGATCTCTGTCTGGGTCTTGTTTTCACCAATGTAATCAAGCGCTTGGCCAGCAAACTCCTCACACAATGTGCACGCTTTCTCATTCCCAACAACTTCTTCAGCTTGGAAGGTTTGAGTTTCCACCAGGTGGCCTGACTTTGAAACTGAATCAGAGAGTAAAACTATCAGTTAAACAATATGTTCCCAGGAAGCAATTACTTCTCAAGATTGAGGTGTGATTGGGACCCTCGATTTTCAAAGACGATACTACGAAGCATGTTCATATTTCATTATCATTGGACAGTAAATTTTCTTACCAGACAAATCAAGGTTTGTCAGTTGTCTAGCATCACAAGCCCAACTCGCTGCCAACACAAAAAGGAACAAAACCCCAACTCTGACGTCCATGGTGCCTGAAGTTGCGATCATTTGTCAACATAAGAAAGCCGCCATGATAAGGGGTTCATAGTTATCAAAACAATAGCAAACAATAAAAGGTCATAGTGTAGTTTCCCCAAAACAAAGAAAAGTAGTGACAAGATAATTATAAAGTCGTAGCAAATGCACTTTGAACCTAATAATGGTTGGAAACTATTGTCTCATGTCGCTAGCTATTGAACAACAAGGGCTAACGTCAACTAGGGTCAGGACCGTAACCCATGATTCGCTACTGATTGGCATGCTGTCTCTAACACACCTGCCTAAGTTTTGATTGAGCCGAATTCACCAAACCAAGCGGAGCAAACTAAAATCTCAAAGTCCATAGCAAGTTCAAAGTTTCTTATTTCCCAAATACTCTTCCGATTGTCAACTGATGTTTTTAACCATTTACCCAATTGAAGTCAGAGTAAAAGCAATAACAGCTATAACACCAACAACCAAAAGTAAGAAAATTTATCAACGCATGAAAATAGTATTGCGTCGTGTCAATCTATCGCGTCGTGTCGTGTCATAGTTTAGTGACTCCATTCTAGTTACAATCTATCGCGTCGTGTCATAGTTTAGTGACTCCATTACAGAAAAGCAATTACAGAAACGCAAACAACAAAAATCAATCTATCGCATTGTGTTATAATTTAGTGACTTCATTCTAGTTACAATTCGAATACACCTTGAGCCTCATAATAGTCGGAAACTATTGCCCCATGTCGCAAAATATTGAATAACAAGTGCTACAAGGGCCAGGGCCGTAACCCTCGAATCAATGCTCCCTAGAAAACTGTCCGTAAGACCGTAACAGACCTGCCTAAATTTTGAGGAAGCGAATTCACCAAACCAAGTGTGGCAGGGTCAATTCTTGTCAAAGTGTACAGTAAATTCTTGTGGCAGGGTAAATTCTTGTCAAAGGGTAAATTCTTTCCCAAGTACCCTACCGAACCGATTAGATAGTGATGTGCCTGATGATTTGCGCAATTGAAACTGTACTGATAGTCTAATAGTAAAAGCAAGAACATCTATAACATAAATAACCAAACAACAGACAACCTTAATCAGAGACCAAAAGCAATAAAATTTGTCAACGACATACAAACAGAAGAACCAAGTTAACAAAACCATGCATACAAAAACACTAACATATAGCAAATAACAAACAACATGGACAGATATCGAATCAATCCTAAAAATCACAGCTTTTGCCTTTTGGTGCTGAGAAAACGTGGGAAACGGAATAAGGAACAAGTTTGAAGTTATAAAGACTCTAAAGGATTTTCAACGTTGGAAGAACAGAAACGAGCGGAGTCGAAATCCCGAACAATCGGAGATACATAGATAGGTATTTACCTGTGATTGTCAGGGGGGAGAGAGAGGGAGAGAGAGAGAGAGGTGGAAAACTGGATTTTTTGGAATTCCTCTTCTCTCTTTCTTATTTGTTTCGAAGTGTTCGGGGGTGGGGTATGCGTTGAATTGCCGTTGGCGATCGTTTGCTTTGTTTTCTTGTTTGTTTTAAACAGGAACAGCTACCCCATCTGGGTTGGGCTTGTGTGTGTGCTAACACTGCTAAGCAATATGTGACATGGACTCCTTCCTCCGTGTCACATTGGAGTTCGTGATCTTCCTGCCTTGTCAACTGCGTATCCACGTAGGGTTGGGTTTGTTTTGCTTTTTGAGATATTTTTGGTGTTTCTTGTTTCTACGGAACTATTGACGAAACTGCATATCCACGAACAAGTACAAAGGATATTCCGAAGAGGCATTATTTTGATAAACATTCGATTTTTATATACTAAACAAGGTTATCAATTCTCTAATTTCTTTTTTTTTTTTCAATTGTGGACCAGCTAGTGGCAGTCTACCTTTTTAAGGATCGAAAAAATTTACACAAACATTTTTTTTAGGGAGGACAATTGGTGATAAGCCATAATTATCCACTATTTTCAGAGGCCGAGAAGACTCACATAGACGTTTTAGTCTCCACCGATCGTGTGATTTACCAGCAACAAAAATCGAAGTCAAGATATGTTCGTCAGATTTGGACGCTTGATGGATACCAACAGGATAGTTTTTAACTCAAGTTGGCCACCACACGAAGCTGGCTGTACCTTCCCGTCTTACCTACGTGCAAAATGATGATTGCCAGGCAAATGTTTGTTTGTCGGCACCATTTTTACAAGACAACTGGTTTCAGCTCTCGTGGTAGGAGTCGCTCTTGAGCATATTGGAAGAGAGGGAATCAAACACAGGACCTCGGGTGAAGGGTTTAGTTCTTGTGTATCACAAACATTTTTGGGAGGAAAATTAAACGTGGCTCTTGAGGAACTTTAGCATTAGCTAGGTGCATTTACTTCACAACCAACACATAAAGGTTACATATATAATGAACAGATCCAATAGTCTGGGAACGACTACAACCTAAACCAAACGAATTCTTAAGCAAAAACAATCTGAGACGCGCACACATACAACTAGAGTCAATTCTTGATTGAGATAATAAGCCGATTGACAGGCCGAATCACTTTAAGTTTGGAGTTGGCTTCTTCTTTTTCCTGCTTTGCTTCGTCAAGAGTAGCGAGAATCGAGCAAATCCAGACTTCTTTCTCTTACCAGAACAGTTCTTGATATTGATTTCCCTCTCAGACTTCCCAGAAGAGGGTTGATCACCATTTTGTTTCTGCAGCATTTGTCCCAGTGACACCTTTTGTTTTACAGGGTTTTTTCCGGCCACCTCTATTTCAACCTCTTCCGGCAAAAGCAGCTTCCTGCTTAGTATTTGTCCTATCGACAAAGTTGGCTTCAACACAGGTGTTGGCCCGTCACTAACAAGATTCAGACCATTCACATCGCGTAATTTCAAATCTATCCCGTGATTAGACGGGCAAGGATTTTTGAACTTGGTAGAGTTGTGAACAGAACGCCTTCTTTGACCGTGCTGGGATCTCCATTTGCGAAGAGCTTCTTCAACTGCTAGTTTCCCCCTATTTGCAGCCTCCACTCTATTCAGAGCTTCTTCCAATTCCTTTTTACTGGTTTTGACTTCTTCAGTTGCTTCCTCTACTTTTTTCAGGATTTCCGTTTTTGACACGTTTGCTTCTTCAACATGAAGCATGGCATCTGTTACCCTCTTCTTAGAAAGTTCCTCAGCATCTCGAACTTTGCGGATTAGGTCTGAGTATTCCTCGAATGAAAGAGTTACGTGGTCGAATTTCCGCAATGAATCTCCAGATGAACTCTCATGGTATGATAGAGCCTTAATTTCTGCTAGAGCCACTGCTTCTACAGCTCTAGCCGCCTCTTTCATTTTTCTCGCAGCAACCAACCGGATTTCAGCCGTTTTTATCTTCGTTCCTGTTTGTTCAATCTCAGACGTTGCTTGCAAGATCTCTAACTTTGCAGCTTCTGCCATTCTTTTGAACTGCTCAGTCTCAGAACTCAGCCGTTGAAGCTCCTTTGAAATATCTAAAGAATTAGCAGTACCACCTTTAGTTTCACCATCCTTTGCCAATTGTAGCTTTAGTTTTGTTTGGTTTAACTCTTCTTCAAGAGACAACACTTTCGAAGAATTTGAAGTTAACCGCACACGGGTTTTCTCAAGCATGGTTCTTTCCTTTTCCAATTTCTTCTTCAATGATTCAACTGAAGCTCGAATGTCCGCAAGATCGGTAGTAGTCCTTGTAAGGTTCATTTTCGCCTGCTTCAGTTCCATCAAGATTAAACCTGGAGCTGAAGAAGGACAGGGAATAATGCCGCCCATTGAATTGTAATGACCACCCACATTGCCATGGTTTTCCTTATCCTCTTCATTTACCACAGGAGTCACATGTTCCTTACCTCCATTTGCCTCAAGGGCCACATTCACTTCAGATACTTCTTCCTGTAGCTTCCTTTTCAACTCATCAATTATCTTTTTGGTTTCTTCAAGTTCGATTAGAACATCCAGCGTTTCCCTTTCTTTCAAAGTAAGATCTTTCTCCAACTGCAAAGCCTGCTCCTCGAGTTTTTCAGTGTCAACATCTTCAATGTCATGCTGCTAAGAAGAGAAACATGTCACCACGTGATAAGGTAGTCTTTAGCAATTTGGTAAGCAATAGAAACACCAGAAAACAAAAAAGCGAACATGATGTTAAAAAGCTACCTATGGTTAGAAAACAACACAACCATTCTCTTTGAATCAGGGTCTTACCGAGTCATAATTCAGTAATTTTATGAAAAGGGTACCATCACATAATGATTTTAATACGAAATGAATCCAAAGTTGCAACTTATGAATCTACCCTTCGGTGCAACCAACGCGAAAGATATGACAAGATGTATGAGGACGCAATCCTATATGGTACAAGCCAAAACCCTTGAGTCCCCTACTCAACAAGACAAACATAAATCACCTTTCCTCTTTCGCGGTGGGCTAACACACATTTCATAATTCTCGATTGCCTTGGCGTTAAATAAAAAACTTGCTAGATGTTCATTAGTCCTAAAGCCATAATAAACTCACAAAAATGTCAGAAACAGACAACTAATAGCATTTGGCACACACTATTCCACAGAAACTGAAGTTCATCAAACCCCATTACAAGTTTCAACTACATTCCGAAGCAATCGGATCACTCGGGCTGCTCTAAATCCAAGTGCAAGAATGCATTTTCATTACAAATTTACAATTTGAACCAACAATTAAACAACTTATAAACAACTTTAAACTTTAAAGAACAACACAAAACCTTACATTTCAAACTAAAACTTCATCGTCAGCCCAAAAACCATAGCCATTAATCTCAATCCATGTAATTTTTCTCCTTTTAAGAAAAAACCCCATTCTTATTTCTACATTTCTCAAAAGAAAAACCCAATCTTTATATGTTTAGAGAGAGAGAGAGAGAGAGAGAGAGAGAGAGAGAGTTACTGCAGGCCCAGAAGGCTTATTAGTGAGCTGAGAGGGCTTCCAGTAACCGACTCCACCGAATCGACTCACTGCTTCCTTCACCGATTGAAAAGGGGCTGAAGTATCGATCTCCGCCCTCAAAACCCTCTCCTCCTTCCCCACGTCCAAACCCGACTCCGACACTCCGATGATTCCGGTCTCCATGTCCAAACCCGACAACCCAAATGAAATCCCAACAGAACGAAACCAAAGATTGAAACTTTCTCAGTAACCTAACAACACTTCGCGTGTAGATTAATGGTGTTTGGTTACTGAGCAGAGAGAGTTCAGAGTCTTCAGACAGACACAAACCCGAGCAGCACGGTACAAACGAAAGTGTACGTTTGATTTTTCCGGAGTTCCATAAATACCCCTGATAAATAAAGATTTTACACGTGTGATAGGGGCAGAGGAGGGGAAATAGTGCTGGGGTTTATGGGGTTTACGGGAAAGGCGGGAGAGGGGTCGAATGACACGTAGGAGAGGAGAGATGGATGGAGTGATGTGCGCATTGATTTTTTGAAATTTGGTGGGGGCATCGGGTGTCGTTCGATTTTTTCAACGGCAACAAAAGCCAATATCACCTAACGGGCTTCTGGCCTTCTTGGTAATGATAAAAGCGCGTTAAAGAAAAGCACTTTTGCTTGTCCTCTTGACTTTGGGGCTGTTGGGCTTTTAACTGTTAGTACGAATCTATCAAGAATATTGGTCCTTGGCCTGCAACGTTCCAAAACTGAGAGCTCCTGTTTATAGGGTTTTGTTATGGTAACACAATAAAAAGATTAAACCCTAGTTTGTGTTTAACTCACATCCCTGCAATCATAGTTTTACTAACACAATAAAAAGATTAAACTGCTTATGCCATGTTAGCACAAATAACAACTATTTTTAATTTATTTGACGAATAGAGTAAACAGTTAAGAAGTAATGTAACATGGCATGCTAGTGGAACTTATGGGTAATGGGAGGTGGGTTAATGTCAAACTAGGATTTGATTTCTCTAGATTAAGAAAAAGATATAACAAAATAATTTTGAAATATAAAAGAAGGTTATATTTCAAGATTCGCAAATCAATTTAAATGTTTCCGGATCCTTTTCCAAAGATTTTTCTAGTTCTGTCATGAGAATCTCTATACTCATGGTTCTTATTACTATAGTTGAAAAGACTAAATTGTTCATGCCACATTAGCACAATTAACAGCTAGTTTTAACTTATTTGACGAAATAGAGTAAAGTGAAACATTTTAGAGGTAATGTGACATGTGACATGGCAATGCTAGTGAGAAACTAAGGGTGATGGGAGGTGAGTCAAACTCAAAACTATAATTTGATTTCTCTAGGTTAATTTAAAACTACAAAAAGAGAATCTTAATCAACTTCAGTGTTTTGTAAAGATTTAGGGTTCTCTCATGAGAATCTTCTCTACCACTATCGCTCTCCTTTTTTTTTTATTTTTCATAATCTGGAAAAATCAAACCGTAGTTTGAGTTTAACCCATATCTGTACACTCGTGTTTTTTACTATCATAGTTGAAAAGACCAAACTGTCAATGCCACGTTAGCACAATT